CTAAATCGAGAATTGCCTCTCCCCTTGTGGGTTCCTGTACCAGGTGCTCCAAGAAGCAGTCATTTAAGATACCAAGAAATTTTGTCTCTGCATCTCGGCCTGTGGTGACATGTACCCAGTCAATATGGGGATAGTTGAAATCCCCCACTATTATTGAGTTCTTTATTTTGATAGCCTCTCTAATCTTCCTTAACATTTCATAGTCACTATTACCGTCCTGGTCAGGTGGTCAGTAATAGATCCCTACTGTTATATTCTTATTAGAGCAGGGAATTACTATCCATAGCAATTCTATGGAACATGTTGATTCATTTAAGACTTTTACTTCATTTGATTCTAAATTTTCTTTCATATATAGTGTCACTTCCCCCACTCGTACAACCTGTTCTGTCCTTCCGATATATTTTGTACCCTGGAATGTTTGTGTCCCATTGATTGTCCTCACTCCACCAGGTTTCTGGGATGCCTATTATATCAGTATTCTCCTTTAACACAAGGCACTCTAGTTCACTCATTTTTTAGACTTCTTGCATTTGTGTACAAGCACTTTAAAAACTTGTCACTGTTTGTCTGACCTTTTCTGATGGCAGATTCTTCATGTGACTGTTTTTCGTCTTATCTAGCCCATACTTTATCCTCTTCCATCCTCTCCTCCTGATTAAAACGTAGAGAATCTCTATCAATAGACTCTCTTCTAAGACATCTCTGTCTGATCCATGTGCTCCTCTGAATCAATCAGCTTTCCCCCATTTCCTACTTTAAAAACTGCTCTGCGACCTTTTTAATGTTAAGTGCCAGCAGTCTGGATCCACTTTGGTTTAGGTGGAGCCCATCCTTCCTCTATAGGCTCTCCTATCTCAAAGGTTTCCCTAGTTCCTTATAAAGCTAAACCCCTCCTCCCTACACCATTGTCTCATTCATGCATTGAGACTCTGAAGCTCTGCCTGCCTACCTGGTCCTGCGCGTGGAACTGGAAGCATGTCTGAGACTGCCACCATAGAGGTCCTGGATTTCAATCTCTTTCCTAGCAGCCTAAATTTGGTCTCCAGGACGTCTCTGCTATCCTTCCCTATGTCATTGGTACCTACGTGTACCACGACCACCAGCTCCTCCCCAGCACTACCCACAAGTTATCTAAATGCCTCAGGCAAGTGACCATACAGTTCTCCCGGTCATCACAAACCCAACTATCTATGTTTCTAACGATCGAATCACCCACTACTAACACCTGCCTCTTCCTAACTGGCATTCCCTCCCCCTCAGAGGTATCCTCAGTGCGAGAGGATACCACAACATCCTCTGGGAGGAGGGTCCCAACTATGGGATGGTTTCCCTCTGCTCCCATTGAATGCTCTGTTCCCTTAAGACTTTCATCCTCCTAAAGAGCACTGGGGCTCTCAGACTGGAGGTGGGACAGTACTACAGTGTCCCGGAAAGTCTCCGCAACATATCTCTCTACCTCCCTTAGCTCCTCCAGTTCAGCCACCCTGGCCTCCAAAGCCCGAACTCGGTCTCTGAGGGTCAGGAGCTCCTTGCAACGGGTGCACACGTATGCCACACGCCCACAGGGCAGGTAATCATACATGTGACTCTCGACGCAATAAACAGGATAGCCCCCACTCTGCTGCTGGGCTTCTGTCTCCATTTTTCTAATGAATAAGTTTAAGTATAAACTGGGATTCTTTTTAAACCTCTGGAATATAGATAATTCTAAGAGTTATGTTTTAAAGAAGGTCAGAAGTCACTGGTGCCCTCTAACCTCTCCCTCTAACCTCCCTCTCCACACTCCCCGTTAGCTGTTCCTGTTCGCAAGCTCCCTGGTCGCTGAGTCACAGGCTTATATACGAATTGCACAGCTCAGAGTGGGGAATGACAGGGACGTAATCCCCAAAAGCAGTTATTCACTTTTAAGTCATGACAACGCTGGGCATGAAAAAATATGGCCATACGCACAGATTAAAAGGTTCTTACCATCACGGTGCTCTCCATAGCCACGTTTTGAACAGCCATAAAGCAGGCCTAAATGTCTCTCTTGTTATAATCCGAAATTTTAAAGCAAGTTGATGCCTGTGTGTATGGTGGGGTGATAAGGAAACTTCTGGCCAAATGGAATGCAGGATGTTTGGTATATAAGTGGGGAGGGGGCATAGAATGAATCTTGTTCCAGAACATTATAGATAAACTGGGGGGGGGTGCTTCTGGCTGGACAGTTTAAAAGTGTGGGATGCCTTTGATTGGACAGACCGGTGGGGGTTGTGGGTGCTTCTGATTGGACAGACCAAAAGATGGGTTGGACACTGCTTCTCTGATTGGTCAGATCGACCAATTGGTCATCCTGCCGCTAGTGTTTTTCTTTCCTCCCTTTTCTTTAGTCTCTGTTTCTCTCTCTTTTTAGACAGCCTCTCTTATTCCATTTTCCCCTTTTTCTCTCCCCTTTCCTTCTTGTATTTTTAGCATCTCCCTGTTTCCCTCTCTCCCCCCACTTTTTTCTTTCCCTCCCCCCAATTTCTCTGTCTCTGGTGCTAGCTTTGCTCTGTTTCTCTCCCCTTTTCTTCTATTTCTTTTCTTTCTCTGGCACTAGCTTTTTCTTCAGCTTCTCTCTCTTTTTAACCTGCCACACTTATTCCAATTTCCCCCTTTTTGCTATTTCTTTTCTTTTTAGACGGATAAGCCGGCCTCCATTTTCCCCGACCTGGAAAGCGTGCGTCCAACATAACGCCATCACGCCATTTTGGAAGTCGCGTGGTGGAGGGGCCCATGGGAGGCTTAGGAGGCATCACGGGAAAGGGGCAGGGAGAGAGGGGGACCAGGGGCGGGGAAAGGGTAGGAAGAAGGGCGGGAAAGGGGCGTGGCACCTGTCAGAATTGTATGGTGATGAAAGCTATCGAGGTGTTTACTATTCACCAAGTCTCTGTTATCCCAATCAAATCATAGTTCCTGGACTGGGCCAGGGCCTCTAATTCTTCTTGTTTGTTACCCAGGCTTCTCGCATTGCTGTACAAACACCTTAGATATCCAGCTGATCGCCCAACCCTCTGCATTCGAAAGAGAGAGGGACACGCTCAGAGCTGGATGCTCAGGGGACGTTTATTTCACTGCGCTGGGGTTGCGGAGCCGAGCGTGGGGGCGACAGGAGTGGGGGACAGGGTGGGGCTGGAGGGAGGCAGCGTCACACAGCGATGTGCTGCAGCAGGGACCCTGCACCAGGGGCACCGGAGCTGGTCCCCCAGGGGTGCCGGAGAGCTCTGGGTCACTCTCCAGAGGGACCCAATTCACTGCTGGGTGCTGAGGTCTCCCCAGATGCATCGAAATGTCTCCCACGGGATTCTTGCTTACAGATGAACGGGAATTTCCAGTTGCAGGGGTAATCGTGCCATTGGTTAAAACCTAGAAAGACAAACAGCAGTGAGCTGGGGGGGGATAAACAGCCCCTCCCCGCCCCGTTCTGTGCCCTGAGGGAAGCTCCCAGCCCCTGGGCCCGGCCCTGAGGAGGGGGCAGGGTGGGGTGGAGCCTGAGCACCCAGAGGGGGCAGCCCCACCCTGCAAAGAGACTTCATGGGAGGGGGACACCCCCTGGCCCAAGTGCTCCTACTCCTGCCCCCAGCCCAGTCACAGGACTGAGGCCAGGGAGAGACCTGCCCCAGGATGAGGGCGCCGTTCCAGGATGGGGCTGCTGTTGGGACTGAAAGTTTTATTCTTTTTATATTCATATTTTAGATTTAATATGTACCAATCGTACAGTAATGAGAGAACCTATTGACACCCCTTTCATATGTTATCAAATTAACCCTTTTAGTTTACAGTCTATTTCTTTGTTGTAAAGTTTAGTGATGGGCCTTAGTAGAGAGAGAGAGTTTTGGTATTGTGTCTGTGTTAATGAGATTCGAAGAATGTTGAAGGCTAAGGCCTTAATTGCGTGATTTACAATGCATTTTTGCTTTGCCCAGTGCAGATATTGATATTGTGCCGCGTAACCTTGAGAATCCTTGTAACATTGCTCGTGTGTGTGAAAAGGGAATGAATGTGTCGAGATAAAGTGCAAAAGTTATTGCTCAGAACCAGACGGCCGAAGAAGGAAGGTTAGCGTGGGTGAAGACTAGACGACCTGGCGTCAAAGAAGCCGTCTATAATCACCAGTGTGCACCCATAATAAGGAGTGATAGGATTCTTGACACATTGATGGGCCTTGAAGCGGAACTGGCACCCCAAAGACGATTGATTACAGGATGAGCCTTCAAGAGATGTTTGGGAGCGATTGACACCGAAGAGATAACACTCCGGTCACAGGCTGACACAGTGGAATTCATTGACTTCAACAGAGAACAGGATTATAAAAGCAGGGTGTTTGGCCATGGAACTTTGGGTTCATCTTGCCACCAGCTCCCGAGAAGCGTCGGATCAATCGACCGACAAAGGCCCTGCTCTCCTGCTGTGATCGATCTAACTGGCCACTAGATTGGTACAGAATCTGGACTGGTAACTACAACGTCATCTGGCGGGACTGTGTATGCATGATGATTGTGTGTGAGTGATTGGAAAGCAGACGCGACTGTTGTATTCTCAATAAATGCGGCATATTGTCTTTTCCCCTATAAAGGATCCTGTGTGATTCGTTTAAGC